AAAAAAGAAGTCATTCATTGCTTTCACTGAAGCATTCTGGTAGTAAGAAAAGATTAGAAATAACCCAAATGCCTACCAGTGGAAAACTGCTTACATAAATTATGGAACTGCCATGCCATGGGTCATTGTGCGGCATCAGAAAAGAACGAATAAGAACGAATACTTGGGAGAATGCTGGAATATTTCCAAAATAGGGTAAAGGGAAAAGCCAACATGCAGAAGTGGGTGCAGTATGCCACTGTGTTTGTGAAAAGTGGGGGAAGGGATTGTATGATGATTTGTCTAAGTCTCAGGAAGGATGTAAAAGGAATCAGTTGCACTGGTCATCTCTGGGAAAAAGGATTGAGTGGCTGGGTGCCATAGACCAAGGAAGGAGACATTTTAGTCTTTCCTCATATAACCTATTTAGGAAAATTCAAGTTCATTCATTCATTCATTAAATGTTATGTTCTTAAACCAGCGGCATCAAAGGCTACTGAGAGCAGAGTTTCAGCTCCTCACTTGAGCTGGAAAATTCCAGGGAAGGAGCATCTCCTTGAAGGGAATTTGACTAAGGCATTATCTGAGAGACGAGTAGGACCATGTAACCTACATTTCCTCCATCTCCAGCTGGAGAGTCCTTTCAGGTGTCTTAGGAAAACCTAGGTTTTCCCTTTACAAGGAAGGAAGTATTTTCTTTCATGGAAAATTGAACTCTGCTTTCTTATAGTCATTTCAGCTTGGCTCAAGCTCAGGAAAGTAAATAGCAAAAATAGCTGAACCATAAAATTAAGCCTACATCATTGGGGTGTTAACTAAGGCCATTAAATTTGTCATTTGGGATCTAAATATTGGAATAGGTCTTTGATGATACTGTGAAATTGTACCTAAAGTAGACTAATCCAGAATAATAATATAGTAAACAGTATGATTGAAAAATTTGAAAAACTACTCAAGCTTTCCAATTGGTATTTACATTTGCACATTCCCATCCTTAATGACATAAAATGAAATAGCTCTACAGATGCTTAATGCATCAGGGCTCAATGAATCTGGAGGAAAAGCAGATGGCTTATGTATATGTGAGAGCATTTTAATATTAAGCAAATAAACCACAATTAGATGGGCGTGGCAGAGGCACATCCTGTTGCACGATTCATGGTGAGAAGTGGATATTTCAGACGTCTGTCCTCTGTACTTTACAAGAGTTTATTCAAAATGGCTGCAGGGTAAGGGCTAGGGAATTAAACAAGGCTAAGAAGCAAGACAGTAGAAGCGTGAGAATCCACACTGTGGTACAGATGGATGCTACAGTAGAGGCTGCTCAACTGGTTCCTGAGAGGGAAGGGAGGAGCTTTGTTCACACTGCTCTGTCTCTGTCGTGCTGAGCTGGGACGGGGGTTGTTGCAGAACTAAAAACAGAGAAAAGCTGAACTGACCTATATCAGAAATGTCATAGAGATAAGGGGTAGGAGGAAGATGAAGGAAATGGGAAACGCAAGGAGGAAGAGGAAAGGTAGGTTGGGAGTTTAGAGAGGTAGGAAGAAAAAGAGGTTAGGGTGACAAGCAACTTTAAGAAAAGTGGACAATCAATTCAGAATTTATGTGTATATCAAAACACCATGCTGTTTACCATAGATATATACAATTCCTGTACATCAATTATAATTCCATAAAGCCAAACATATTTAAAATATTAGAATAATTATAATAGTATCCCAAAAAGTGGTACCCAAATTAGCAGCAACAGCATCACCTGGGAACTTGTTAGAAATGCAAATTCTCAGGCTTACCTCAGACTGAATCAGAAACTCTTGGGTGGGCCCAACAGTCTGTGAACAAACTCTGTAGGTGATTCTTATGCAGTCTTCAGACTGGGAACCACTGGTCCATACCTTCTATCTAACATGATATCCAGGTTGACCTATGTTATAAATATTCCCATTTAACATAAAAATGATATGAAATTGCTAGAAGCTGTCTGTATTGGTCTGTTTTCACACTGCTAAAAAGATAGTACCTGAAACTGGGTAATTTATAAAGGAAAGAGGTTTCATTAACTCATAGTTCCGCATGGCTGGGAGACCTCAGAAAACTTACAATCATGACAGAAGGTGAAAGGGAATCAAGGCACAACTTACCTGGTGGCAGAAGAGAGACAGAGTGTGCAAGGGAAAGCTGTCACTTTTAAAAGCATCAGATCACGTGAGAGCTCCATCACTATCATGAGAACAGCATGGGAAAAACCGCCTCCATGATCCAATCACCTCCCTCAACACTTGGGGATTATAGTTCAAGATGAGATTTGGGTAAGGACACAGACAAACCATATCATTCTGCCCCAGCTCCTTCCAAATCTCATGTCCTTTTCACATTTCAAAACCAATCATGTCTTCCCAACAGTCCCCCAAAGTCTTAACTCATTCCAGCATTAACACAAAAGTCCAAGTCCAAAGTCTCATCTGAGACAACGCAAGTTTCTTCCACCTATGAGCCTGTAAAATCAAAAGCAACTTACTTCCAAGATACAAGGGGGTAGAAGTATTGGGTAAATGTTTCTATCCCAAATAGGAGAAATTGACCAAAACAAAGGAACCACAGGCCCCATGCAAATCCAAACCCGGTGGGGCAGTCATTAAATCTTAAAGGTCCGAAATGATCTCCTTTGACTCCATGTCTCACATCCAGGGCACGCTGACGGAAAGGGTGGGGGTCCCATTGCCTTGGGCAGCTCCGCCTCTGTGGCTCTCAGGGTACAGCCTCTGCAGCTGCTTTCACACGCTGGCGTTTAGTGCCTGCAGTTTTTCCAGGCACAGGGTGCGAGCTGTCAGTGGATCTACCATTCTGGGGTCTGGAAGATGGTGGCCCTCTTCTCACAGTTCCACTAGGTAGTTCCCCAGTGGGGACTCTGTGTGGGGGCTCCAACCTTCCACACTGCCTTAGCAGAGGTTCTCCCTGAGGCTGTCTTACGAAGAACAGCTTGGGAGGCAATAGAACTATTCACTGAAAGAAATACTAAGAAAAAATTCCCCACCCCCACCCCTGGCTTTGGAAAAAAATTGCTTCTGGCACTTTTCTGGAAATTAAGCTCCAAATAAAAATTGTAAATTGTAGATGGAAAGAGATAATAAAGACAGTCACGTGATAATAGGAATGTATTTGGATTAACTTCTGAAAAAAGCAAAAAACAGAAATGGGGAGATTTTAAAATCACGGTGGTAAGAATGACAGGTGAACAGAAAACAACAAATTTTGGGTTCATTTTAATTAAAAAGTGCGAAGGTCGATAATATACAAGACACCTAAATAAAAGTGATAAAGAAAAACAAATTGAGGATTTGGAACTCATGATTCCCTTGAGGGTCACCTTTGTAGTAGTGAGGTGCAGTGGAGTGAGAAGAGCCTGGGCTTTCAGGGTCAATGTTCAGATCCACCAGCTGTAACTTACATCATTCTGGATAATTCACTTAACAGGGATTGACATGCTTTAATTTGTTCTTACTTTGCTGTATAATGGGAGAAGTAAAGTGTTTAATTAGGGCCATTATTAATTTTCAATTTACCAAATAAATGAACTCTTAGGAAAAAAAAGAGGAGGAGGAACAATGTCTGGTGAGTGTGTTAGTAAATTTTAGCATATTTTTGACAATGCCTGTCCTCCAGAGCCTCATAAAAATAAAAACTTCAACTAAAGACTTTTATTACTCCTTAGGACTTTTTGGAGTCAGATTTATAGGATTTTCTGTGTTTGGTACTGGATTGACATGAGGTCTAAGTTGGACCATCACATAGTGATGGGGGACAAAATGAAGCCCCAGTCTTCATGTAAATTACATTCTAGGTAAGGCGGCAGAAAACAGTTATGTGAGCAAGTAAATAAAATTACTTCGGATAGTTTCATGTGCAGTGGAGACAAATAAAGCAGAGGAAGAGAGCCACAGGGCCAACCAAGATAAGAGTTATTGCAGGAAGGTGCTCAGAAAAAGCCTCGCTGGGAAAGTGATGTTTAAGTAAAGACTGGAAGGAAGGCTGGGACGTGGGCATTGAGTGAGGAAGAACAGGGTGGCTGGAGATGAGCTGAAAGGGGCAGCAGGGGCCAGATCACTGACGCCTCAGAGGCCAATGCATGCAGTCCACTGTTACTGTGAGTGAGTTAGGAATCTGTTGGAGAGTTTGGCACAGAGAAGTAACACGAAGGGACTCGGGTTTTTGAAGGATCTCTCCGACTCCTTTATTAAGAAGGGATAACTGGGGAGCAATCGCAGGAACAGGCAACAGGTCACAGACTCACTCTGCACCTGGCTGCAGCCCCAGTCGGGTATTTCTTTTTCATCTGCCAGAGAAATATTGCTGTGGCCACCTGACCTGCTGAGGGTGATGCAGCTTCCCAGGGGATGTAGGGAGAAAATAAGAAAATAAAATCAGGCAACAGGTAAGTAGACTGTGGCAGTACTCCAGGTGAGAGCTGGTGGTGGCTTCCACCACATCAGTAGTGGCAAGAGTGTGTACAGGTGACTGGATTTTGTGGTCACCAGAATCCCGTGGTCACCAGTCAGATGAGTTAGTTGACACAGATGTCTGTTATGGTGTGACTGTCCCCCAGAATTCAGGTGTTAAAACTTAATCACCAATGTGACTGTATTAAAAGGTGGGGCCTTTAGGAGGTGATTACATCATTAGGGTAAAGCCCTCATGAATGGGATCAAGGCCTTTATAAAAGACGCTCCAAACAGTCCTTTTTTGCCCTTGCGGTTTTCTGACATGTAAGGATGCAGTAATAAGACCCTCATCAGACACTAGCCCTGCCAGGACTTTCATCTTGGACTTTCCAGTCTCCAGAACTATGAGCCATACATTTCTGTTCTTTATAAATCACCCAGCCTGTATGATATTTTGTTATAGCATCTCAAACAGACTAAGGCCAGATATTCACAGTGGAAAAATCAGCCTGTTACCCCTGGATATACTGATCAGTCTTCCCACCATTCAAAGTGCATTATCATCCCTTAGGTCCTTTCTGATGTGATGTAGGATGCTATACTCATCCAGCACTCATACATAGTATTTCTGCCAAAGATTCAAATGTGCTTCCAACTTTCCAGTTTACAGAAAATGTTGTTGGTAGAGGAAAAGTAAGATGACACTATGAGAGAGCAAACAAAATCAGCATTCCACAGGAAAACTGCCACAATCTCTCCAACAAGTTGGTAGAATTTTTTAAAATAAGAATGGAAGAATGAAGATGGTTCAGGAAGGTTTTCTGCCTGGAGCCCTGTTTGCACTCAGTTTTGATAGCACCTTCTGGAATCCACTTTCCCTGACTTCCTCTCCCACCCTGCAGCCACTCCCTGAACCTTCTCTCTCTTTGCCTCCGGGTTCCTGTTCAATTCAATTTGGTTTCTATGATTCTCCCCACTTGCACACAATTTTCTGTACTCACTTGGAACCATGCGAGGACTTCTATTCACCAGTTGTTCTCATATCCAGGTACTTTGGTCCCACTCAGGGTGGCTCTTCTATGGTTAGAAACATATGTGGGTTTTGTTTCTTTGATTTTAGTGATATTCCAATTTTACAACTTGTAGGGCTTGTTATATTTGCTTTTTTTCTCTCTTTTCTTTTTTTTTTTTTTTTGGTGATGGAGAGGGATGGAGTAGTCTCACTCTGTCACCTAGGCTGAAGTGCAGTGGAGAGATTTCAGCTCACTGCAACCTCTGCCACCTGGGTTCAAGTGATTCTCGTGCCTCAGCCTCCCAAGTAGTTGTGATTACAGGCATGCACCACAACACCCAGCTAATTTTTGTATTTTTAGTAGAGACAGGGTTTCTATGTTGGTCAGGCTAGTTTCGAATCCCTGACCTCAAGTGATCCACCCTCCTCGGCCTACCAAAGTGCTGCAATTACAGCCATGAGCCACCGCGCCCAGCTGCTTTTCATTTTCCTATCACTTGCACTAACAACTACTGATCCCTCCCCAGTCCTGTTGCTGGCCCAGGTTTGGCTGATATACCTGAATTCTGTGATTTGGGAAGATTTTCCGTCATCCAGTTTTCTTGAGGATGATTTTCATGCGTATTTTTTCCTTTCATTATGCTGATTGGTCCATTTGGCTTTCAGTGATAACTTGAAAGATGAAATTTTCTGCTTGATAAACCAACTAACATTAAAAACTAGCAGTTAATGAGATCAGAAGACAATAAAAAGAGTGTGTCTTCCGTTCTAACAGGTATGAGGTGATAGCTCATTGTGGTTTTAATTTGCATTTCTCTAATAATTAGTGATTTTGAGTATTTTTTTCATGAACCTGTTAGCCTTTTGTATGTCTTCTTTTGAGAAACGTCTGTGCATGTCCTTTGCTCATTTTTTAATTGGGTTGTAGATTTTCTTGTTATTGACATTTTTGGGCTCCTTGTATATTTTTAATATTAATCTCTTATCAGATGTATGGTGTGTCAGTCTGTTTTGCATTGTTATAAGGGAATACTTAAGGCTGGGTAATTCAGGAAGAAAAGATCATTGATTATCTGGCTCACAGTTTTGCAGGGTGTACAATCAGTGTGGTACTGGCACCTGCTCAGCTTTTGGTAGGACTCAGGAAGCTTTTACTCATGATGGAAGGCAAAGCAAGAGCAGACACATCACATAGCAAGAGTGGAAGCAAGAAAGACACCATGTTTGGCTGGGTGCAGTGGCTCATGCCTGTAATCCCAGCACTTTGGGAGGCCCAGGAGGGTGGATCACCTGAGGTCAGGAGTTCAAGACCAGGCTGGCCATCATGGTGAAACCCCATCTTTAAAAAAAAAAAAAAGAAAGACACCATCCTTTTTTAACAATCACAATCAGGTCTCATGTGAACTAATAGAGCAAGAACTCTCATTTCTGTGGGGAGCACATCAAGCCATTTATAAGGGTTCCACCCTCGTGACACAAACACCTCCCGCTATCTCCCACCTGTAACAATGGGGATGACATTTCGACATGAGATTTGGAGTGGACAAATATCCAAACTATATTATATGGTTTGCAAATATTTTCTTTCACTTTTTGAGTTACCTCTTCACTTTGTTAATTGCTCCCTTTGCTTTGCTGAAGCTTTTTAGTTTAATGAAATCCCATTTGTCTATTTTTGCTTTTGTTGCCTATGCTTTTGGGATCCCATCTAAAAAATTATTGCCCAGAGCATTGTTGTGAAGCTTCCCCCTATATATTCTAGTAGTTTTACAGTTTCAGGTCTACTATTTAAGTCTTCAAGCCATTTTGAGATGATTTTTTAATGTGATGTGAGACGGAGATCCAATTTCATTCTTCTGAATGTGAGTATCTGATTTTCCCAGCACCATTTATTGAAGAGACTGCCCTTTCCCCATTGTATGTTCTTGGCACCTTTGTCAAAAATGAATTGACTGTAAATGTGTGAGTTTTTTTTTTGTGGTGTTGGTGAGAATGTAGAGAGACCCCTTGTACACTGTTAACAGGACTGCACATTAGTACAGCTATAATGGAAAATAGTATGGAGGTGCCTCAAAAGACTAAAAATAGAACCACCATATAATCCAGCAATTCTACTTCTTGATATATATTCAAAAGAATTGAAATACGTATGTTGAAAAGATATCTGCACTCTCTCGTGTTTACTGCAGCATTATTCACAGTAGCCAAGATACGGACTCAACCTAATTGTTCATTAATGAATGAATGAATACAGAAAATGTGGTATATATACACAGTGGAATACTATTCAGCCTTAAAAATGAAAGAAATTCTGTCGTTTGTGACAACATGAATGAAGCTTAAGGACATCATCCAGTCTGGAGTGCAGTGGTGCAATCTCGGCTCACTGCAACCTCCACCTCCCAGATTCAAGCGATCCTCCCACCTCAGTCTCCCAAGTAGCTGGGACTACAGGTGCATGCCACCACACCTGGCTAATTTTTCTATTTTAGTAGAAATGGGGTTTTGCCATGTTGCCCAGACAGGTTTCAAACTCCTGGACATAAGATATCTACCTGCCTCAGTCTCCCAAAGTACTGGTATTACAGGGGTGAAGAATAAGTTTTTGAAATCTATGCCACAGCAGGTGACTATAGCCAATAATAGTGTATGATATATTTCAAAATAGCTAAGAGTAAATTTCAGATGCCTCACTATAAAAAATGATAAGTAAATGAGATGATGGATATGTTACTTAACTGAGTTTAATCATTCCACATTGTATACATATATCAAAAGATCACATTGTACTCCATAAATGTATACAATTATAATTTTACAATTAAAAATAATATTAATAAGAAAAAAAATTTAAGGAGCATGTCTTCCTAGTACCAAAGTGTTTCCAGAAGCAAAGAGGGACAACTACAACAAATGATTGATAAAGGTACATGAGAATTCGGGACATTGGATTAAGCCACCTGGAGTTCATTGGTAACCCTGACAAGAGCAATTTCTATGGAGCACAGGGGTGAAAATACCAAAGTCCTGTGGAATAGATTTGAGAGAGGATAGGAGGCGAGAAATAAGTCATCAAGTATAGATGACTCTTTCGAGAAGGATTATTATAAAGGTATACAGCAAATTAAGGAGATAATGAGAGAGTGTGTGGAGTCAACAGAGGACTTTTAAAGGTAGGAGGTACTATATGTGTGACTAATGGGATGAATCTGGAGAGATTGTGAATGTTGATGATGTAGGAGGAGGGGCCATTTGCTAGTGTGATGCCCCTGGGTAGTAGAGCTGGGAAAGGATCTGGTGCACAGTAGAGGAGCTGGTCTCAAATGACAATGAGTGATTGGCCAGAGTTTCAGGTAGGGGAGGGAGAGAATATGTGTACAGATGAAGCTGGGGGAGCACTGAACAGTGGGGCTTATTAGGAGTTCTCTTCTAATCCTTTTCAATATTTCTGAGCTAACAGAAGGAAGTTCATCAGGTTACAGTGAGGAGAGAAGAAAGGTATCGGAGATTTGACAGGGAGGGTAAGAAGCAGTTACCAAGGAGAATGAAGAGGGAAACAAACTAGGGAAGTGTATTCAGATGGTGCAGCAATGAGGGCCTGCTTACGGTAGTGCCAAAACCAGCTTGGTCCTCCTCAGATAAGCATGAAATGAAAGAATTGGTTTGCATTTAGGGGTCATTTATACACAAAATGCAGTTTTATTTTTTATCATTATAGCTTTTTCATTAATTTTTGCTGATTGTGCAAACTGGAGTTTGAGATATTTGAGAAATTAAATGCATACCTGATGGTATCCACTAACCTTCCCTTTTTAGTTAGATGTTTATTCACTTAAGGATTATGGTTCCAGACTCACATTCAGATTGGCTCTCGGTATTATCCTGCTCTCAGCAGCCTACGAACATAGATGAGTAGAAAGCATGTACATGAAGACTTAACCATG